TTTTAAGCACATTTCCAGGAGGGTTTTTGGATCATTCTGGGGTAATTCTGGGGTGATTTTGGGGCAATTTTGGAATAATTTTGAGGGAATTTTGGGGCGATTTTGGGTGGAATTTCACGCACATTTCCAGGAGGGTTTTGGGGTAATTCTGGGGTGATTTTGGGGCGATTTTGGGGTTTTTGGGGTCTCACCTGGACTGCCAGGGGGTGATGACGCCGTCGTCAGGGCCCCCGATCAGCACCAGGCGCTGGATCCGCAGCAGGTTCCGCTTCCACTCTGGGGGGGGTCGGGGTTTTTGGGGTCGTTTTTGGGGATTTTGGGATTTTTGGAGTTTTTTGGGCGGTTTTTGGGGCTCACCTGAGGCGTTGGGGTGCAGCCTCTCGTCGTTGAGCAGCGCCAGGAAATCGCTGCTGTTCAGGTAAAGGTCCCGGTGGTGGGGGTCTGCAAGGGGGTTTTTTGGGGGGGTTTGCTACCCAAAATCAACCCAAAATCAGCTCAAAATCAACCCAAAATCAGCTCAAAATCAACCCAAAATCAGCTCAAAATCAACCCAAAATCAGCCCAAAATAAACCCAAAATTACTCCTAAAATCAGCTCAAAATTAGCACAAAATCAGCTCAAAATCAACCCAAAATCAGCCCAAAATCAACCCAAAATCAGCTCAAAATCAACCCAAAATCAACCCAAAATCAGCCCCAAAATTACTCCCAAAATCAACCCAAAATCAGCTCAAAATCAACCCAAAATCAACCCAAAATTAGCACAAGATCTACCCAAAATCAACCCAAAATCAGCTCAAAATCAACCCAAAATCAGCTCAAAATCAACCCAAAATCAGCTCAAAATCAACCCAAAATCAGCCCAAAATAAACCCAAAATTACTCCTAAAATCAGCTCAAAATTAGCACAAAATCAGCTCAAAATCAACCCAAAATCAGCCCAAAATCAACCCAAAATCAGCTCAAAATCAACCCAAAATCAACCCAAAATCAGCCCCAAAATTACTCCCAAAATCAACCCAAAATCAGCTCAAAATCAACCCAAAATCAACCCAAAATTAGCACAAGATCTACCCAAAATCAACCCAAAATCAGCTCAAAATCAACCCAAAATCAGCTCAAAATCAACCCAAAATCAGCTCAAAATCAACCCAAAATCAGCCCAAAATAAACCCAAAATTACTCCTAAAATCAGCTCAAAATTAGCACAAAATCAGCTCAAAATCAACCCAAAATCAGCCCAAAATCAACCCAAAATCAGCTCAAAATCAACCCAAAATCAACCCAAAATCAGCCCCAAAATTACTCCCAAAATCAACCCAAAATCAGCTCAAAATCAACCCAAAATCAACCCAAAATTAGCACAAGATCTACCCAAAATCAACCCAAAATCAGCTCAAAATCAACCCAAAATCAGCTCAAAATCAACCCAAAATCAGCTCAAAATCAACCCAAAATCAGCCCAAAATAAACCCAAAATTACTCCTAAAATCAGCTCAAAATTAGCACAAAATCAGCTCAAAATCAACCCAAAATCAGCCCAAAATCAACCCAAAATCAGCTCAAAATCAACCCAAAATCAACCCAAAATCAGCCCCAAAATTACTCCCAAAATCAACCCAAAATCAGCTCAAAATCAACCCAAAATCAACCCAAAATTAGCACAAGATCTACCCAAAATCAACCCAAAATCAGCTCAAAATCAACCCAAAATCAGCTCAAAATCAACCCAAAATCAGCTCAAAATCAACCCAAAATCAGCCCAAAATAAACCCAAAATTACTCCTAAAATCAGCTCAAAATTAGCACAAAATCAGCTCAAAATCAACCCAAAATCAGCCCAAAATCAACCCAAAATCAGCTCAAAATCAACCCAAAATCAACCCAAAATCAGCCCCAAAATTACTCCCAAAATCAACCCAAAATCAGCTCAAAATCAACCCAAAATCAACCCAAAATTAGCACAAGATCTACCCAAAATCAAACCAAAATCAGCTCAAAATCAGCCCCAAAATTACTCCTAAAATCAGCTCAAAATTAGCACAAAATTAGCTCAAAATCAACCCAAAATCAACCCAAAATCAGCCCCAAAATTACTCCCAAAATCAACCCAAAATCAGCTCAAAATCAACCCAAAATCAACCCAAAATTAGCACAAGATCTACCCAAAATCAACCCAAAATCAGCTCAAAATCAGCCCCAAAAAAGAAAAAAAACCACAGAAAAAACCCAAAACCACCCCAAAAAAATCCC